GACTGTGGAGGGGCAGATTTTGTAGGATGCTCATTTGGCTTGGAAGAGGCAAGGATGTCAGGAAGGGCAAAACATTTCAGAAATTTCACTTTCATGGTGCTCCCCTGGCTTCAAACTCCTCACAGCTTCCCATCAGCCATGGAACCCCACTAGGGATCATTTCTCAAGTCAACTCTAAGTAACTCTTAAGAAGGATGCCAAGGTGTTATTCGGCACCACGATCAACCAGCAATGTTTGCTCTGGGCACATGGAGGTGTGGCAAACACAAGCCATTTATTTACGGTCTTCTAGAATGCCAGAAGTTCTACTTGTGCCAAGGAGAACCCACATTGTCAGAAGGAGAGAGGTGTGATGGTTACATGCAGGATCAGGTCACTTGGCAGCTGTCAATCTCCAGATGACAAACACACGACATCATGCCTACAGAGCAGGGAAATTCACGCCCATGGGAAGGATTGCCCACTTCATTCACCTTGTCTGTTCCGGCCGGGACTGCAGGAGCAGGGGCACAATCCTGACTTGTTTCAACCTCCCATCATTCTGTCCCAAGGGCAGGGATGAAGTCCTTGGGATTCTAATGGGGCCAAGCCCTAGGAGTCAGCTCTGCTAGAGACAGAATACACAATTTCCCAAAGGCCAGAGCCAAAGCTCCACACGGGAGCAAAATGCTGTTGAGGCCATTTTCCGACTACCCAGGCTCGCGTCTCCTGTCACGAGTAGGTTTCAGTAGAGACATCTGACAGGTTCGAGTCTAAGTGGTTAAGGTGCCCTTTCCTTTCGTTCTTCTGCCTGGGCCTGTCCTTGCCACATCAATGGTAAACATTAGGAAGTCTCTCTATAAATATGTGGAGCTATTATGAGTCACTTAAAAGCAAAACAAAAGAATAGACTTTAAAAATTCTAAAAAAGTCTTGAGTGCCAAGGTTGGGGTTCGACCCGGAAGAGAGGGCCAGGGAGGCACTTGGACAGTTCTTAATCTAGACCTGGGGTGTCTTACTTAGGTTAGCATTACGCAACCAGGATTTGACCTGACTGGGTTGTCGAGGGAATGAAGGAAGAACAGACAGACAGACACAGACAGTGGGCTTCGTGGGGGAGGTGGTCTCAGCTCTGTGCTAGAGACACTGTGGCACTACAGATATTCAGCATCTTTATGATCCAGACTGAACAAGGAGGCAGGGCTTATGGTATACAATTGGACCAAGGAGACAGGTTTAACTATTTTTGGTAGGAGCAGTCTCCGTAGAGAAGCAGTCTTCGGGCTATAAACATCCAGCTGGGGTGTGGTGGTGGCGGGGAAGCTATGGTGGCCATTTTCTGCACCCATTAGTAGCATTCACACGTGGATCGGAGGAAAGCTTTGCGGTTTCTCTATGGACCTCATCCCAGGGGCTGGGAAGCTTTGCCGTTTTCCCACGGGTCTGATGCCCCGCCTATGTCAATATCTCACACCCACTCAGGGCTTCCTCTGCTCTCCACTCCGGAGTGCGGTTCAAAAGCAATCCTAGGCAAGCAACCAGATGGGGGTACCATGAAAGGGGGCGCAGTCCAACGTTACATGAGCTCTGGAGGATGCTTGTTTGCGCAGTCTCTGTGAGCTATAGGGACCTCTTCTAAACCTGGGGCTCTAGGGGGATTCTGGGACTAGGTATCCCAACCTTAGTCCTTCTAGTCAGTGACACTACTTCCCTGCATGACTCTAGGGATGAACTTGACAAGGACACTTTATCTGCGAAGGCTTGACGCACTGTAAACAGGGAGCACATCAGGGGACCCTCCGAGGAACGTCTATCTACACAAGTCTCTGTTGAAGGACATTGTGCAGTGATAGGAGCAGACTATGGGAGGGACCTGCCAGGAAGAACCGGTTCCAAACACTGTGTGTTAAACACCTGCTGTGTGCTAGACTCACATAAATCACCAGTTCCAGTTCCCACATTTCCCCAGTAGTCTGTAAATATAGAAACTGAACCCTAGCGGCAGAGCGCAGCTCAGGAGACAATGGCTAAGTCACAGTCCGTAACAAAGGACTCGTCCATAGGACCCAAACCTGAAAATCTCATGCAATTCAGTCTTCAGAAAGTGGAACTGGTTATCACCACTAACAGTAGCTCCATCATTTTTGAGTGCTGATTTTTTTTTTTTTATCAGAGGGTTTTTTTTTCCCCCTTTAAGCAACTTCATGCAATGAGTCCAGTTCAGGGAGGAAGGCATCCCAGATTGGAACCCTCATCAGAAAATGGAGCTAAATATCTGATGCCAAGGGCCAGGGAGATGGATCTGTTGGTAAAGAACCTATATAAGAGCTCATCCTAGGATGTGAGGCAGAGGCAGGAGAATCTCTGGGTCTCACTGGCCTTCTGGTCGCAAAATCAATGAACGCCAGGTTCGGTGAAGGATTCTGCCCCAGTAAGCGAGGTGGGGAGTGGTGGCGGAAGACACCTGATGCGGAGTTCTGGGCTCTGTATGCACTCCACGATGTATGGGCGCACCTGCACACACACGGACACATGCACACATATTGCTACGCTACTCATACACAGACATAAAAATGGGACCGTGAGAGTTACATGAACACATAGACAAAATACTTAGTGTGCGGCAGGTCCTTAGTAAGAGCACCTGACTTGATATTGATTATCCTAGGGCTTAATAAACAAGGGAACCAGAAAGGTCACTTGTTTGAGGTCGTGTGATTAGTTAGAGACCCCCAAACAAAACTCTGGCCACTCTTTCTGATACACACACCCATGAGCTTTCTCCCCAAGGGGCCCGGGATGACTGATTTTCACGACAGCCACTCTGAGTCAGCAGGAACCCCAGCCCTCTGACGGGAGGAGGCAAGTACGGCACATTGGGAATATTTCCTTCCAAAAACTAACGCTCAAAAATGTCACTTCCAAAAGCAAACTCCAGTGTCCCAAAACCCTCCCAGGCATGGAGTAGTTCCAGAGCCTTCGGGGCCTGAGTCCAGAGCCATTATACCACTCTTTCGCATCTGAACTTATTAGAAGCATTAACCTCAGAGACTTGGAACCCTGTCCCTCCCCCTGTGGCCAGGCGGGATAATGTAAGGACATTTTCCTTCATGTCATTTCAGCTTCCATTTAAGTCTTGGAAATAGTGTTGAGCCGGAGCCATACCGTCTGTGGATCGCCACGGCGCTGCCGATTGCGAGGCTGTGCTATGATATGGGGCCCGCATTGTGTAAATATTTGTCAAAGAGAAGATTAACTAGGGAGGCACTAGATTCAGAGTGACTGCATCTTTCATTAACTCAGCCAGGAAACAGACTGGAAAGATACACCATTCACTAAGTCAGTTTATCAGCAGCCAGTGAATTTCTGGTTATTTTTTTTTCCCCAGGCACATACATGGCTGCTTTTCACCAATGTGTATATATCTCCCCTTTGCACCCTGACCTCGTTTCATTGCAGACTTATGTTTGTCCTTTCACAGCCTGAAAGTTGCCACGACTTTCCACATGTAGGTGGGTCTCAGAAACATATTGTAGCGCATGCGTTATCTACACTTTGCTCAGAAATGATAAATGGCGTAACTGGAAGAGTGATTAGGGAATTAACTCCCGGGAACCAGAGTTTCTTAATGCAACGGTACAGAGAAATAGATGACTAGCTAACTCATGTTCCTTGTCGGAGTAAATGTAAGGCCATTTGCTTCGGGGTACTTTCCTAAAGAGGGGGTTTGCTTGCACGACACCCTCCATGTGTTCTCAAAGTTGGCGCAATATCATACCATGAGCTACCTCCAAAAATATAACCATAACCAAAGCCCAATGTACAAATCACACCAAGGCTTGGTGTTTGGCTTTCTGATCACCTAAACCCACTTTGCAGAAGAAGACCATTAACTACAACGAATCAGATTATTATAGCCCTGCTCAGAAAGCAGCTTACTGAGGCCGAGGGAAACCTAGGGGCTGTGGTGCTGGACCCAGGATTCACTAGACAGCATGCTTGGAGGGAAATAGCAAGACTGCATGTGTTTCTAGTGTCAGACCAGAAGATGAGATTTGGGAGACCAGAGAAATCTCAGAGGATGTGGGGACAGAACCTCCAAGCTGATACGGAAATGATTACAAGGAGCCTCTCCCAGGAAGGCGGCAGGGAGGCTGCGTGAGGCTTCTTTTCTGGGTACACAGCCCTGTCTTGACAGATCCATGACACTGGGACCCCAGGGTGCATCCAGTGAGAAGATGCATAGCCGTGGACTCAGAGTTCCCATTCCAGAACTTTTCCCACGGGCAATCAAAGACACTACTATCAAATTTAGCACCATAACAGACTTTTCGCAGCACTACACAAACCATCCTTCACTGACATGGGGGAAAATATTGAAAACTTGGGTTGGGCTTTTCACACAGATCACCACAAAAATCCTGAGACTTGACATTTCTTTAGAAAGACTGTCACCGACAGAACTTTCCCCAGAAGTCCCGTCAATCATGACCTTCATCAACTACACTGATGAGAATCTGTTCTCTCTGCTGCTGGCAGTCACAAGCACACAGAATTTTAGGCGCTGAACTTGACCAGAGGGAATTGGTAACTTTGATTCAGTTTCAACACACACTCTTTGAATTTCTTAAAGGCCCAGAGTGGAGGTCTTCCCGCTGGGAGATGAGTCTGAACCCAGCATTATCAGCTCTCTGGGTGTTGAGACCCAAGCCCCACAAGGCAGCTGTCTGCTGCTAAGCATAGCCCTGAGCCATTTCACCCCAAGCTCTGCACTTAAGGGCTGCTCCGGACTGGCCCTCCCCAGGTTGACGATGGCTAAGGTAATAGGCATTGGACTGCCAAGGGGTCCTGTTGTTTAGTCCTGTCAGGTCTCCTGGTCTCCAGTGCTTGGCCAGGCCCCACTGCATTAGCAAGATCCCGCTCCTGCTACCTGGGACTGGTACTGATCTCCCGCAGGGCGGACGGTGCTGTTCGCCCTCCCCGCTGGAAGGATGCTCAGGGCAATGTTCCCGCAGTCCTACCTGGCCAGGCGAGTCCCGTGCGCACGGGGACCCAAATGGGTCAGCCCCCCAGCTCCGGAAACCTGAGTCTTAAGCGCTGCGGTGCTTCCCCGGCGGCTCCAGGGCTCGCGCTCTCCAGGTCCTGATCCGCGGAGCAGCCCGACTGCGGCTGAGTCAGCGCCCAGCGGCGGCGCGGTGAGCCCCGGGCAGCCGCCGAGAGCGGCTGTGAGCCCAGCTGAGGCTGCCCTGGCATTTTAAAGGCGAGGCTTGGACGCTGTTCAAGCGGAAACGCAGGGAGAAACTTCGGCCCCCAGTGCAGCGCCTCGACTAGGGGAGGGCGTACCGGTTTTGCAAAAGTCCCTCCTTTCTAAGGAGAAAAAGCAAAAACCAGAACTCCAAACTGTGAAGCTTTTCTGTGAGGATCTCTCTCTGCCTTATTCTCAGTACCTACACAGACATGCCCATTAAAGTTAGGGATGAGATTGGGAGGCCTGTTTAGGAAGTCTGCTGGATGCAATTGGGCACAAGAAAGAAGAAGAAAGAAAGCAATGAAGTATAAATTACCGTGTCTTTGTGGGTGCCATGAGTTTAAGCTGGGAGCCAGGTGGAAAACAATTGCGGTTTGCAGGGACATGATTGCTTTAGGTAAATTCAAAATAAAGACAAAAATGAGCAGGCAGGTCATGACATAAACACATAGCGTTATTGTCAGTAGTAGGGATAATAAATCCTCTTTTCACTAATAGAGTAATCGTAAATATCTGGAGATGGGAATTCCCTGCTATAGTAGTCTTGCTCAGGGCTCTGTTGAGACCTATTGAGTGAAAGCTATTTCCCTCTGGTAAAAGGATGGACTCTGCCTATGGCTTTGGGTGGAGACCTTACATTCCAAGCTATCCAAAACAGGAGAGTTGATCCAGAGGCAGTATCAGTCAGTTGCCTGGTAGAAGGACCACACTCAGGAAGGCTAACTCGCCTTAAGGCATGCTAAAGACATGGGAGGAATAATCATCCCTTTAAGGAGATAGTATGCTTTTCCTTCCCAGAGAGCATTCCCTGGGAGTTGCTCACAGTCATAGATGTGCCCTGTGGCTCTGCTAAGGTCTGCCTTTCTGAGTCAGAACTCAGAAACCCTCATTTCTTACATGTCCTCTCTCTAACTCTTTCTACTTGGTACTGGACAAAGCTGGGACATGTTGTAACCCCTTTCCATGCGGCTGCTTGTCCGCCATTTGGCCTCTAACAAATAACACGACTTTCTCTCTTCCTCATCTCCATCTTCCTTCTCTAAGGCAGCTGACGGTATTTATAGCCGACTTGCGCTGGGGTTTTTCTTTTAAACTCCATGAAGTTGTCCCCACATTTTCCTCTAAGCATTCGTAAAATTCTTTTTTTTTTAGATGGTACTAAGAACCTTGAGAGAGGGCCCATCTTTCCTCAGTAACATTATCTGGGAACATACCTCATACTGGGGACCCTTCTATTTTTGATTGGAGGAACAGAGGTATTGGATTCTATTAAGATACAAGCCTTATTCTTCGACAAGAAAAAGAAACCTTATCACCCAGTCATATCCTCCATGTTTGCATTTCCAACATAATTATCGTCAAATTCCAAATAATGTTTTGCTGTTGTAAATTGACTCAGTGATTTTAGGGCCCAGTTGGGAAAGGGGAGCAATCAACGCACTGGGGGTGCAGAAGAGGATGGGAACGCAGCCCTGCAGGGTGTTACAGCAAAGAGGTATGTGTGTTACTGCCTCGGGAGGGCTTTACAGGCATTAGCGCACACGTCTAGGAAGCAGATAATAGCACTGCCGCCACTCACAGGTAAGCAGCGGAAGTGTTTGCCCGAGGTCGCACAGGTAGAAAAGAGAAGCCAGGTAGATAAGCAGCGGAAGTGTATGCCCGAGGTCGCACAGGTAGAAAAGAGAAGCCAGGGATTTGACGCCTGTGGAATCTCAACCTCTGTGTCACCATCACAGAGCAACAGTGACTGCAATGTCATGGCAAGATCCACTGCCCCAAGGAGAAGAGCAGGGAAAATGCAGGGTTTCAGGTAGCACTGTGAGTGGAACACGTAGGCTTTAAAGTAAATTATATAGGAATGACTGTAGTCGTAATCGGGGCAAGAATAGACTTTCTACGTGGTTCCTAGAGCAGAGTAAGTTACAGATGACTCAAATGATGAATGAAAAATCATGAAGCCAAGTGATGAATATATTGGTATTTACCGTAAATGTGAGGTTCTGAAAGCCTTTCTGATACATCATAAAGCCATTAAGAAAAATGCCGATAGATATGAGCATCAGAGTGCAAATGATTTCTATATAAACAGACATAGTAAACAGAATTGGAAAGTGAATAAGCTGGAAAATATTTACGATACATGTGGTAGGGGGCTGCTAAATTTAATTTTAAAAGCAAACCGTTGGCTCATTTTGATGTTCAGATATACCATAATTCATTAATTTTTTTATTAAGAATTTTTTTAATACAATCTTTTCTCATTCTACATAGCTATCCCCATTCCCACTCCCCCTGTCATACCTTTCTCCCCCACCCCCATCCACGCCTCAGAAAGGGTAAGGCTTTGTTGGGGAATCAACAAAGTCTGGCACTTCACTTTGAGGCAGGAGCAAGCCCCCCCCCCCCAACCCCCGCCATATCTAGGCTGAGCAAAGAGAATGTGCTCCAAGATGTCAGTTCAAGCACTAGGGATAAATCCTGCTCCCACTGCCAGTGGCCCCACAGACTGCCCAAGCCTCACAACTGTCCCCCACTTTCATTTGTTTGCCCCATGACGTCAGTGGGTGACCCAGGCTGGCTTGGAACTTCTTGGCTACCTAAGGCTCTTCTTGAAATCATGACCCTCCTGTTTCAGCCTCCAGCTTGCTCGGATTACAAACTTTTTTGTTTGTTTGGTTTTGGTTTTCGAGACAGGGTTTCTCTGCAGCTTTGGAGCCTGTCCTGGAACTAGCTCTTGTAGACCAGGCTGGCCTCGAACTCACAGAGATCCACCTGCCTCTGCCTCCCGAGTGCTGGGATTAAAGACGTGTGCCACCACCACCTGCCTCCCATGAGTTACTTTTTAGTGTGAATAATTTGGCTCACTGGGTATTCAAAAGTCAAGGTGGTGGTCCTATATCTTCTCTGACAGCCCTAATAGGATAACATCTTAACGTAATTCTCAAAGGTCATCTAATCATTAAACAAAGAGAAGACCACCCCCAACACACACACACAGCCAGAAAAGGGGTAGAAGAGAGCTGGAAGCAATTAGCAACAAAAGAACTTACACAACAAGTCCAACCCATCATTCTCTCTGGTGATGCAAGAAATACAAATAGAAAAATAAGCTTAAGTAAAGCTGGAAAAATTAAAAATATCGACAACATCCAGGGCTAACAAAGGGTTTAGATAAATGAGAATACATTTATGAAAATGTAAATTAGTGCAGGACTTCTAGAAAGCTGTTTTTGAGCAAATGCCAAGTTGTGTACTCATTGTTCATAATAATAAATCAAATACATTTTCAGGAGTTTTTCTAAGGAAACCCTTGGAGTGATCTGGAGATGTAGCTCAGGGAATTAAGAGCATTTGCTGCTCTTGAAGAGGACCGTGGTTCTCAGCACCTACATGGTGGCTCCTGTCAACAGCTCCAGGTCTAAGGGATGCGGTGCCCTTTTCTGGCCCCTGTGAGCCTTTTGTGTACAGGGTACACATGCAAGGAGAACACTCATATGCATAAAATATACATGAGTTAATCAAAAGAAGAAATCACTGACCTCGGGATAAAGCAAATACTACAAATGTTCGTTATTTTACAAAAATAATTTAAAATAGTGAAAAAAATGGGCACAATCTAAATGCCTAGATACAAGAACGAGTTAAGAAAATTCAAAGGTAGTATATGTTGAGACTTTAAACTCATACAGGATGATTTTAAGCCCTTCCTGGGAGTTTGCTCATCAAAACAATAAAGAATTCCTCGGCGAGTAGAAAGAATTATATAGCTAGCGCCTCCGTTTTTCCAGAAAACAGGACAGAGAGTTGAGCAGTACGTTAGCTCAAGGTGTTGCTATTGCCGTCAAGTCTAAGGCTTCCCTCTCCACTCCTTGTCTCTCCTGTCTATTTTCAGTGGCTTTCTTTTAAATTCCTCTCCAGCTTATAAAAACGGGCAGCCCCCAGAGCTTTGTGTAAGAATCACCTTTAAGAAATGTATTCTGTTGGGTTCCACTTTAAAGATTTCTATATCAAAATAGTTTGGCTTTACAAACCCAAGCTGGAGAGCATATGCCCACTGGGTAGAGCACCAACTAGGTGGTTACATGTACTGTATAACAAACAGCCCCTAGTTCTCAGCATCTGGAAACAGTTATCCATCCGTGACTCCAGGCTATACATCCATGATGGGTTGGTTGTGTATTGGCTTCATATCGGTAATATCACTTGGGAGTCCATGATGGAGAAGCAGTTTATGTCTTCAGTGCTTTGGAAAGATTGTGGTCAACTATGGGCTGACTTGTAAAGTTGTGACCAGAACAATACACTTGGCCAAGCAAGGGAATTTCAGCTTCCTAGAACAGCATTACAGCTCCACACACTCAGGACACCAAGGGCTTGGGCTGGTAATAGCCGATGACATCGAGCATCACAACTATTGATGGAGCAGACAGGGGTACCACATTCTGACATGGCTACCTTGAAAAGAAGGGGAGGACCGGGGTGATGGCTTGGTTGGTAAATTGCTTGCTGGGCAAGCATGACTTCCCGAGTTCTGATCCCTAGCAGTCACGGAAAAAGCTGGGCATGTCTGTTTGCTCCTGTCACCCCGGCACTGGGGATGCGGCGATGGGAGGATTAACAGTTTAGCTGAAACGGCAAGCTTCAGATGCAGCGTCTGAAACTGTCTCAAAAATAAGGTGAAGAGCAATCAAGGAAGATACTGACCTTGACCTCTGATCTATATATGCACCTGCTCACACATGCACATACACATCGAGAGAGAGCAAGAAAGAGAAGGGAGGTGGAAGAGGAGGAGGAAGAGAAAGAATAATAATAATAATAGTGGGATGCTTGGCAGACAATTGTATAAATTTCGATCCCAATGATCATGAAGACAGGACTCTGGATG